CTACGAGTAAAGCACTTGTCAAGGTCTCGATCGTACGTGTCATGGGCCATGCCAAAGCTGGGTGTGTCGTATTATCTTGGTGAGGCAAGATGGAGAAATGGTGGTTCTCATAGCTTGAAAATAGATGCTTGATCTAAGTGTGGTTTCGAAAATCCCTTATTTATGTAATGCTAAGCGTGTACCTCCCATTACTAGAGCGCCTGTCAAGGCATCGATCGTCCGTAACACGGGTCATGCCAAAGTTGAGCGTGCCGGATTATCTTTGTGAGGCAGGGTAGGAAATCGTGGTTCCCACAGCTTGAATATGGTTTACCTTAGGTTAAGTCGTCAGGTTTGACTTTAGACTTAATGGTACAGATGAGACGAGTATACAATGATATTTTTTATCATAGTCTCATAAGAGGATCTAAGAGTCACATTGGATGTGATCGACATTAGATGTCTACCTAAATAGTATAAGGATGGGTGTAACAATCCATACTTATGTGAAATACGGATCTTAGTCCCATATAGAAAATTATTATAGGGTTATTTTTCTGTATGGGAATATAGCTCATCTTTGCATCTATGTTGTCATTGTTTGATGATGGACTAGCTGGTAGTAGATCATAGATATGTAGACACTGATTGATGAGTAGATCATTAATAGAATCTGCATGCAGATGTGTTTTCGTTCTATTGTCTTTTTCTGTAGGACATTACGTCGACCGGTAGTATACCGAAGTTGACGATGCGATCTGTCCTTATGAAGGAAACCTCTTACCACGGCTTCTAGATCGATCATTGATGCTTATTGGAAGCATGTGGATGATGATCTGGATAAGTCTTGCTTGATATTTGGAAACATGACTTCGAAATTGCGTAAGCATGGACGATTCTTTGATAATTGATCAGTAGAATGCGTCATTCCAAAAGAAAGGTGAGAGCCACAGAAAGAGTAATATAGTAGTTGTTGGAAAGAGTTACGGCAAAAGGTAGCGTTCCAAGAGCAAGGGCAAAAGGAAAGTGACAAGCGTTGTCATTGAACCTAAGCCTAAGTCCAAAAAGGAAGAGACTTATTTATGTCATGCCGTTGGGCATTGGTACAGAAATTGTAGACTCTACCTGGAAGATCAAGAGAAGAAGAAGCTTATAGAAGCATCGAATTCTAGTGTCTTCGTTATAGAGGCTAACTTGTTTACTTCCACATCGTGGGTATTGGATACCAGAAGTGCCTCGCACATTTGTGGAAACGTCCAAGCATTGCGAGGAAGTAGACAGTTGGCAAAAAGGAAAAGTAGATCTCCACGTTGAGAATGGAGCAAAGGTTGTTGCATTAGCCATAGGGAGTTACGATCTAACTTTACCTTCTGGACATGTATTGGAGTTGCATGATTGCTATTATGTTTCTGCAGTCAGCAAGAATATTATGTCGATTACATGCTTAGACTCGGATGGTTTCAGATTTGTTATTGAGAACAAATGTCTGTCCATTTATAGAGGTAATTTGGTAAATGTTACCAGTTTAATGGCCTTTATGTTTTGGATGACAAACCGTCAAGATACAGGTCTATCTATAACGTATGTACCGAACGGTTTAAGTCGAATGACTTAAACCCGACCTTCCTCTGGCATTGTCGTCTAGGCCATATAAACGAGAAGCGCATTCAGAAGCTTTATTCTGAAGGTCTTCTGGATTCATTTGACTTTGAGCCTCTTGAATCTTGCGAGTCTTGTTTGATGGGCAAGATGACAAAGCATCCTTTCTAGGGGAAACGACAGAGAGCGACAGAGTTATTGGATCTGATACATAGTGATATATGCATACCAATGAGCTGTCCACCTAGAGGGGTTATCTGTATTTCGCTACGTTCACTGATGATATCAGTCGATACAGTTATGTCTATTTGATGAGACATAAGTCTGAAACACTTGAAATGTTCAAGGCTTTCAGAAACGAAGTGCATAACCAGCTTGGCAAGACGATCAAGACACTTCGATCCGATCGTGGTGGCGAGTATATGAGCCAAGATTTCACTGGCTATCTGGTTGATTGTGGTATTGTATCACAATTAACTCCTCCTGGAACGCCACAATGGAATGGCATGTCTGAACGGAGGAACCGAACACTGTTAGACATGGTTCGGTCGATGATGAGTCAGACAGATCTTTCGAAGACCTTTTGGGGCTACGCTTTAGAGACCGCTGCTTATATGCTGAACAAGAGTCCAACGAAGTCGGCTGAAACGACGCCATATGAGATATGGACGGGGAAGCGTCCCGCGTTGTCGTTTATCAGAATTTGGGGTTGCGACGCTTACGTAAAGCGTAAGATGATTGATAAGTTATCC